AAATTTATCGCCTGAGTGGCAGCCATTTTCTTGTGAGCTGGATAAAAATTCCTACATTATTGAGTAGTTAATGATTTATCATGCAGCATATGCCATAACTTGTGCATTTGCTATTTGTAATGTGACGTCACTTTTGGGATCATTGTGAGTTCTTATTACCATGCATGCAAGATAACTTGGAACTATACATTAGACTTGTATTTTACCTATTAAAAACTTAACACGAACATAATTTTCTAGTGTCAAATAGTAGATCTAGATTCAATATCATTTTATGATTTCCCTCAAGTTTTCACAAAATTTTCAAACTATAAAACAAAGATTCATAAAAATTAAAGAAGTAGTGTTTTCTACTATATATTTTTTATTTCAGCCAAGTGGCTCAGGATCGGCAGCAACGCCTGCTGATGAATTTACTGTCAGGATACCCAGGTGAGATCAAAGATAAAATTAAAATAAAACGAAATAATGCCAGTGGCGGAATTAGAAAAAAAGGGCCACCCCACAAAAAAATAGTTTAGACCCCCCCCCCCCCCCCATATATATATATATATATATATATATATATATATATATATATATATATATATATATATATACAAACACGAAATACGAACATAGGATACTCATAACTGGCCTGTTTGGTTTCTTGAAGAAAAATGTTTTTTTTTCAATTAGAACAAAACATCATGTCAAGTGTGTAAGTGCATTAGTGTTTTGTGAAAATCAGTTTTATTTTATCTCTGCTACAAGACCTCATAACCTCTAGTCGGTCAAAAGAATATAAATCATGAAAGCTTGTAAAAGTAATGGTGTCTCGTGTTATGTTTATTTTTATGTTTTTTGTATTTATATTATTAATTTTAAATACATTTCCTTTTTATACAATGTCATTCTTTAGTAAGTACTTCATAAAAAAATAATAATTAAAAGAAGTAATTGCTTTTTAATTTGTTTAGTACAAAATTTATTAAAAGGAGCTTATGAGCAACCCTATTTGACTATTTAAAAAAAGGGAAATAAGTCATGAAAGTGGTTTGGACGTTTGCTTATCTTTGATGAGTTTGATTGTAGGAGAAAGAGGACTCAGCTTTCATATTGGTTTAAAAACAAAGGGAAAAAGAATATGCAAGAGCATGGGGTGGTGTCTATAGTATAAAGTCCAAATGCTAGAAAATTATTTTTTTTAACTATAAAAAAAAAATATTATGGTCGGCTATGGGCCCCTAAATGGCGTATATATATATATATATATATATATATTTAATTTTTCTTCAGGGACACCAGAAGGAAGTTTACTATGATGAAATTTGGAACAGGTTCCTCTGTAGATTTTTCTAAACTTGGAGATGTAAGCTAATGCAATATTGATGTTTAAAATTTTTTTTTTTTTACAATTCAACAATATATTAATGAAAACGGTTTACATGGTATAAACATTTATATTTTAAAACATATTATTAATATTTAAATTTTCAACAGCAACCAGTGAAGATTGAAAGAGAAAATAACTTGAAGGAATATAAAACAGCCAATGACCTAGATATGCTGCCTAAGTTTGGTGCAGGCAGTGAGTATGGCAGAGATCAGAAAGAAGAATCACGAAGAAAAAAATATGGCATCATGTTAAAAAAATATAACCCTGATGATCAACCCTGGCTTCTTAAAATTGGTGGTGGAAAGCAGACAAAAAGGCTGGTTTCTTCACAGTTTTAGGCAGCTTAGTTACGTGCTATTTAAATTTTTATTTTATCATAAATTTTTATATTAACTTTTGCGATTTAAAAAAAATAACTGAGAATAAAAATTGAATAGAAATTGATATAAATTGATCACATTTAAACAGTACATTTTTTTTTAGGTTTAAAGGTGTTCGTGAAGGTACAATTACAGAAAACACATCTTACTACATCTTCACTAAAGCATCTGATGGAGCATTTGAAGCTTTTCCAGTTGAAGAATGGTATAATTTTACACCAATGGTTAGGTACAAGTATTTGAATTCCGAAGAGGCTGAGGAAGAATACAGCAGGTAATTATCTACGATAATACTTGATTTTTATAATTATTAATTATACTGCATTTAGTTGTCATTTAATTAATTTACAAAATATTTTTCTTTTGTCATTCAGAAGAGACAAGACTTTGAACTACTTTAGTATTATGGTGAAGAAGAGAATAAAAAAAGAAGAGGATCATGTTGATGAAGATGAAGATGGGAAGAAAGGGGGTAAAAAATCTAAGAAAAAAGATAAGGACCTTGTGAGTAAGATAGTCTATTTTTCTTTTGTACAATTGCACTAATCAAACGATAATATTACCAACACTGGTTGGTTTATTATTTTTATGAATAAAGTAATTTTTATGAAATGATTAGTTTTAAAATTCCTTTCTTAAAAAACCAAGCTAGAAAAAATTAATTGTTTTCTCTCAATGTTAAGGAAAAACAAAACCTTATTTACTTTGAATTCAATCCTCTGTGCAGATTTTAACTGATAAGGATGATTGGGATGATATGGAGATGTCCGATGATGATGAGGATGAAAAGGAAGGTGATGAAGATGGTAAATATCAACAGGAGTTTGATGGAACTATAACTGTATAAATTAGTAGTTTGTAATTTAAACTTCTCTGAAATTTATTTAAAGATAAGATATAATTTTGTAATTTGTGACTTAGGTAATAAAGTAAAGAAAAAACAACATAAAGGAGCCAAAAAAGCTGTGAAAAACTCAAAGAAAAATTCAGATGATGAAGCGGTCGAAGAAAGTGATGAAGGTGATTTTGATGACAGAGAGGTAATTTTTTTCAATATTTAAGTAATGCAGCTTTTTTTTTTCAAAATTTCCTATTAAAAAGAAGCAAAGATTTCTTTTTTTATGAGTAATATATAATTGAATTGTAAAATGAGTAAAAAATATAATTTTTCTATCGAGCAGTAGAGATGAAAGTACATGGTTGTTTTTTAATTTGAAATTGCAGATTTCAGAGTAGCAGAATGTCAGTTAGTTGCCATTTATTGAAAATAATTTCTCAATAGTGTAGGATGAATTTTGTTACAGGTTGATTATATGTCAGACTCTGGAAGCTCTAGCAGTTTATCTGGTCAAGAAGAAGATGCAAAGGAAAAGAAATATGATGAAAAGGGTGTGGATCAGGAAGCTGGTTTGAGGAATATTCTTGACTCTGATGCAGAAGAAGAAGAGGAGGAGGAGAAGGAGAAAGAGGAAATTGAAGAGGAAATTGAGGACAAAGAAGAAAAAAAAGAAGAGAAAAAGAAAGGTTGGTTTTCTACAATTATAAAAAAAATAATTTTTTTAAAGATCATTAGTTGGTACTGCCATCTTCAAACATAAAGACAAAATTTAAAAAATTGATGTCTTAAACTAGATTAAACTAGGGTGTCGCTTTACCTATTTTTTTTACCAGGAGCTTGGTGATTAAGTCAGCAGAAAATGATGCCAATGTAATGTTTTCAAAAATGAAATATTTGTCCAGATAATTTGTAAGAGATGGTGGTATAAATTGGCATAAAAAGCCAGTTGATTATTGCTCACCACCTAGTTTAATGATACTAACTGCAGCAGATGATACATTATTTTAAATACATTGAACTCATGCCAACATCATGGGCGTGTTAACAATACAGCACGTCAAAGGAACCAATATTAAATCAAAGTACAGGCGACACCCTGGATTAAGCATTTTGAACTTTTTATTTGATCAAATAATTAAAGCTTTTGATACAAAATAAATGTTCAAATGAGAATAGATTAATTGTAAACAATATTTCTTTTCAAGGGGATGATGACAGTAGCAGCTCCAGCTCAGAAGATGACTCAGATATTGAAAAGGATGCCAAATTGGCTTCAGCAATATTTTTGCAAGTAGGTTTTTTTCTGGCCTATGCATGTGACATATTACATTTTTTTCTGACCATCTTATAAGTTAAACAACACACCTTAAGAGATCTATCAGTAAGCCCCTTTAAAGTAATGTATTTTAAAACTTCATTCATGGAATATTAGGACTCACACTAGTGAGGTTTCTAAATGTTATTTTACATTAGCCTAATACTCTGACTTATGTAAAAATTAAATTACTGTTGTTTATTTGATTGTGTTTATAGGGTGGAAAAAAAGAGAAAAAGGAGAAAAAAGAAAAGGCAGACACAGCAGCAACAGATACAAATCAGGCGGTTAATCGTACACCAACACCGGACAAATTGAAGGAGAAAGGTATTTTTCTAGGTTGTCTGACAACCTCAGCAGACTTGAATAATTTTGTCAAAATATACTATTTGATGCATAATATTCATAAATTTGTTTCTATTACATTTCATTAAATTATTATTTGAAGTCCAAAAATGTTTTTTAACTTTTGCTTAACCCTTGAATATATTGAAACACCAATAAATACCTTTAATTTTTGCTTAGCTATGAAAAGAAAAGCTGAAGCAGTGGATGGAAAGGCTCATATTTCTAAGAAACATAAAGTAGAGGACAGGTAAGGTCAACATATCCTCTTAATTTAAAAAAAAAAGCATTGTTACATTTTACATTTTAAAAAAATGACCACATCTTATTTGCTTTACAGCGAAGGCATTTCAGAGGATGCAATTAGGAGGTACCTCATGCGAAAGCCCATGACCACAAAAGATCTTCTGCAGAAATTTAAATCTAAAAAGCTGAATATGACAAATGAAAAGATTACCCATGTTATAGCCCAGCTGTTGAAAAAAATCAACCCAGACAAGATGACCATAAACAAAAAACTTTACCTCTCCTTAAAAAAGCCTGAGTAAACTTTGTTTACATACTATCTTGTTTTTAGCTAAGTAACAATGACTGATTAGCTGCATTTGTTTTTAACTTGTCTAGCATGAATGCTTGTGTTTGTAATACTTAATTTAAGCATCAGCTGTAAATATATGAACTGTACAGACATTTTGTTCATGACAATAAATAATCAAATACAAGTCATTTTGTAACATAAGTTTCTTTGTTTATTTGATCAAGATATACATAATGTACATTGCAATAAATGCCCTGGCCTGCAGCAGTACTTTAAATTTATATGTACAGAAACATCAAACAGGATACTATACACATTTACAAAATTGACAGTTATTTCCAGTATATAATTCTCTACTAAAAAAACAAAGATGGAGGATAGACATGAATTCCATTAACAAACATCTTCACATCAGAATCCTTATCTGAATTGAGATTGGTCTATAAGCCAGATAATTCCTGTATCCACGGACTTCAAAGTTTCAGAAACACAGTTGATAACCTAAATAAAACAATGTATCTGGTGATTTTATTGCAGCAAATTTCACTTTTTACAAATAATTTTACAAATATATTTTTTTTACAATATTTGTTTCACTATTTTTTAAATGAATCAATCTAACCAAAAATTAAAAACATACCATCCAGGGCTGTGAAATAGTTGACAAATTAAGGAGCTCTACTATATCTCTCACTGGCAGCCCAGATCTTTCATCATTTTTAACACATGATAGTATCAACACCGGTACATGTGGTGCAGTTCGACGTTCTTTTATCATAGCCATTAGCTCATGTCTAGCACTGGCAACTAAGTAATAAAAAAGACATTAAATAATGATAAACCTAATGGCAAGTTAAATACTTCTTTTTCCAATAAAATCTATAAAGGCTAATTCATATAAAAGCTTTTCTTCAGGAAATAATTTTACAACAATGTTCTCTTCTGGTATAGTTTTAGCTCCATAATAGAGTTTAAAAAGCAACAAGAATGGTGAAAGTTCATTTGTACCTGATTCTTTTGTCTCGGATGCATCAACAACAAAAATGAAGCCATCCAAGATTTGACAGAAGTGTTTTATCTGAGTCTTCAGCTCATAATTGGATTCTTCTCCTTCCAATTGTTTCTAGAAAAAAAGTGAGAACAAAATGGAAATAAGTCAATTATAAAAGATGACCATGCTATATTTATGCTCATTAAAACCCAAATGAAATCTATTCTTGCACAATACAAGAGTAACACAGTTATTTTAGCAACGGTTCATTGACCAAAAGAAAATTTTAGTTACAAAACTAACCTGAAACATCTTGTTTTTGTCAACTCTTTCCTGAGCATTCCTATTTTCTCTTTCATTTTTAGAAGCTGAATACAAAACTGATAAATGAAGGGAATGGCCGGTTTGTAATTTCAAAGTCATTCCACCCCCAACACCTGTAATATAAGAAAATTATCTTTTTAAAGGGAACTAAATGGTTCTACTTTTAAAAAGAAAAAAAAACAATTATTTCTTACCATCAAATTGCCCAGGGAACATTGCAACTCTGGTAAACGTGGAGTTATTTTCATACAACATTTGTCGAACAATGCTACTTGTTGACTGCTCTAAGCCAGGTCCAAACATAGCTACTTTTGGTACTTTCTTAGGCATCAAATATTTGAACATAGAAGTCACATTGTGGAATGTAGTATTTGGGTGGTGAAGCTGTTTGTGTACCTCAGGAGAGCACTTCAAATAGCTATAAAGAGATAATAAATTGGCTTATATAAACACATTTTAAAAGTAGTTTTAGTAATATGACATTAACGACACTAATGTATTGAGACTACTAGTACTAGGAGAGATAGAAATGGAAACAGTTTCCAAAATAATCAGGGAGAAAAAGATGGCGCTGGATGGGGCATGTCCATCCAGATGCATTCAGATGATTTAGCAGGTATAGCGCTAAATGGGATGCCTCAAGGAAAAAGAAAACAGAGAAGGCCAAGAGATAAGTGGAGACATGCAATGACGAAACTGGCAGAGGCAGGACTGTCTTGAGGGACTGCCATGAAAATCTCCTGAAACCAACAAAAGTGGAGCTTACTGTGGTGGCCCCATGTGTCTTGTGTAAAAAACAGAAAAAATTATGATAATGTATTGGCATAAGATACATTGTATTCAACAATTTTTCTCAGATATCAATATTAATTAAATTAACAGTCAAGTTCTTCCAGTACTAACTGCTTCTATTGTACTCATTTAGTGGTATTTAGTTTTGATTAAATTAAGCTTGAATACTTCTAAATTTTACATCACTTTATATTTTATATAATTAATTTCAATATGAAAACAATTAACTTTTATCTTACATTTCTTTTTGGGACCAATCAGAGCTCACTTCCTGGTACATCTGTGGATTTGTTGTATGAGATATTTGTGTCCAATGTTTACTATCCTGATGAAGTAACTTTTTCCATAAGAGATCATGGCTGCCCAACAGATTCCATTCTTGACTAACGCAACAAGCTAGACAAAGTGATCTTGCATCGAGGTATGAAAATATGTGAAGCTTCATATCAACCTACATAGCAAAAAATAGGAATAAAATTATTCATAAATTAAATGCAAGCCAATTTAAAAATAAAAATTAGGGGAGAAGATACTTAAGTTTACTATTGTGAAACTGCAAACCTGTTACAAACGTGTAATATTAATTAAAATTCAAAGTTCTATTGATATAATTAAATAATTTCACACTTAAAATGTATTAGGTTACCAAACAAATGTATTTATTTATTTAAATTTAAGTAGCCTACGTTTGTAGTTTAATCTGCAAATACCAAATGTATCACAGCATATTTCATGTAACTATTATAATAAATATAAGCATGAAATTGTTTTAAAAATAAAAGTTTATTATTATTAGGAATATTCTTATTATTCTACCTTTACATAACTACATTACAAAAAACATATGTAGATCTAGAATCTAGTAATTATGTATGTACACATACTTTATGATACTACATACTACATAGTACATAACTTACGGGCAAAAACTGAATAATATTTCCATCGCCTTCATTTGTACTTTCATTAAATTTGACTGTTGAGCAATCTTTAAAATAAAAAGATTTGATTTTTTGCATGAAACTAAAATCATCATTATCGTGGTCAGTTTTTTTCCCAAGTTTTCTTGTTAGTAGCTGCTGTATACCACCGGAGCTTACAGGCGATGCTGGTGCTTTACTAGAATTGTATATTGAGTATTTTGAAAGTAAACTTTGCAAAGACAACAAAAATGCTGAAATATCTTCTTCGTCTTCCTTTAAATTCGATAGTTTTTTCTGTGTTAAACCATTATGATCCGCCCGAAGTGTATGATGAATTTCAGTATGGAGATCATTCGATGATTCGTCGTGTGAACGACCATCGCTACAGTTCAAACTTTCAAAAGTAAAATCGTTATCATGATGATTTGAATGTTGTGCAATGTCAGAAATTTTTTCAGCTGCTAACAGTCCAGGCATTCTAATTGAGACGTCAGTTTTCCGAAGATACTGAATGTAAGCAGAGAAGAATGTTATTTATATAGCAGAGCACTTCTAATTGTGTAATTACACGGCTGATTTAAGTACGTGGTAACCTCCACGTCTACTAAGCTTCCGTAACTATTGTAAACTAATAACTATGTTTAGCACAATCACGTGACAATGTTTAGTTCCGGTAGGCATTAAAATTTATTTCGAGTTGTATCCCTTTCTTTTTGCTATATCCGGTCGCAAGAATGGTAGGTGTTAAAGATTTGGAGTAAAATATTAACTTAAATCTATTGGCATCTGCATAATCCCAACTAAGTTGTACATATTTTAAACATAAAATATTGTCTGATTGTTGTTTAAAGACATTGAAATATATGCTGACTGATAATATTCGTGTATTTCTTCATGGTAAAAAGTTAAGCTAAAATAAAGACAAGTAACCAATAGTCGATAGTCAAATTTTTGTTTGACAACGTTTGTGGGTTTAAGCAGCATATTATCATTTACTCCAGCAGCTGCATCTAAGATAGCCAAAACGTGTTTTCTTGCGTAATTGTATTTGTAGATATTAAGCTAATTGTGTGTAGTCAGCTAGAGCAGCTAGAGGAATATTTTGCTCTAGAAAATCTAGAATGTTTTTTGATTTCCATTACTTTACTCAACTCACTGGGGTGTAAAAAGTGGGCTCCATCCAGCACCCAGTAACACTAACTTATCTACGAATAGATCATTGTATTCAGTAAATATTTAAAACTAAACTGCAAAGTGGATTGCATGGTGAGGTGTGACATTTCCTGTGGGTGTGGTGGCTCTGGTTTTTTTCCAGCAGGAAGCTCTAGAAATTCTAAAGGAAAGCTGTTATCACCTTCCCTCAAAATTTTCTCACAGTACGTTTTATTATTTAGCACATAGGCTGAAATTGGAAAGCACATATCTAACACCTTTTTTATAACATCACCTGTTTTTCCTGCATCACATAAGTTTTTATTAACTGCTCATTTTTAGTATGATACATCAAGGTGTAAAATGTCAACTAATCAATAGCGTACTCTATACTGGATCCAATGATACCTCAGGGATTGCTTTACCCTATTAAAGCCCTAATTACTATTTGAACGAGATTTAATAGGCCTGAATGCTGAGCAATTAAGTACAGTTTAGGTCTTTTGTGTGCTAAAGCATTTTGTTAGTTTTTCATATTTCCAAACATTGATCATAACAGCTTATTTCATTACCCTCTTCAAATACATTCCTGAAAACTGCAATACTTGGTTCCATCAGTCAGATTTCACTTCTAGATCTTAATACTCGTCAACCATTGCAAAACTTTTCCCCACTAATGCCACTTGGAAGATAATTGAAAGGCAGATTCTAGCATAAAAAAATTGCACATAGATATACAATTATATGATTTTCTTGTCGTCTACATGTTTGCTGTTGGGGCCTATGTGTTGGTTAATGGAACAGGGATTAACAATTTATATTTTTCCGAGCAGTCCCTTTGTAATTGAAAATGTGCAATCACAGTGATTAACAACTGTTTGCATAAAAGTGATTCATTAGTATATATGGGGGTGTTTAGCCGTTATTAGTCAACATTTAAAAAGTAATGTGCCTACATTTGTTGACTTTTTTAAAGATTCCACAACTTTTTTTTTATTTGTACTGTAAAATGTTTTCATTGGGCAAGTGTGCATTTCTTGCAGTTGACTCATGAAACATTTCCCGTTGTACCTTACCTCAGCATGGTTTTTTTTATTAAATTTGATGCTCTCAAGCTTCTCTGTGTTCTTAAAATATGCCTAAGAACCCTGGTTAACATTAATGTCATCACTTGTTTTGAATTTTGTTTTAGACCAAGGGTACCTCAAGTTTTGGAAAGCGGCATAACAAAACCCACACCTTTTGCCGCAGGTGTGGACACAGGGCCTTTCACATTCAAAAGAAAACTTGTTCTCGATGTGCTTATCCAAGTCCCAAACTAAGGCACTGTAAGTACTAAAAGTGTATGTTAAAGAACAAAGATGTGTCCATTCTATTTCATGCATCATAATTGTTCATAATTTTTAATTTCTAGATAACTGGTCTAAGAAAGCCCAGAGAAGAAAGACAACTGGTACTGGAAGAATGAGACATCTCAAAGTTGTCTTTAGGAGATTTAGGTAATTTTCATATCTTGACAATGTTCAGGTCGGCAAAGTATTTTAAATGTTTGGATACATTACTTTGCCAGGGTTCCAGCGGCCTCCTGAAATTTCAGGATGTCCTGGAATTCTCCTTGAAATTAAAAAAATCCAGAACACTCCTGGAATTTTAACATTTCTCCTGATTTTTTGTAAAATGTCCTGAAATTTTACTCGCATGGATAATTTTAACATATTTTTTCGTGCGTCAGATCTCTAGGTAATCAGATCTGACCGCCCCCCAGTAAAATGTTCTGCTTTGTCGATTCTGCGCATACACGGCATAATTTTCAAATTATAGACCTATAGCTGTCTTTAAGCTGTAGGTTTGGTTTAATTTTTTTCTCACTTCTATGAGTGCTGCTCAGTTTGATAAGCCTGAAGTTCTTTTTTTTTTTTTTTTTTTTAATTAAAAATTTCAAGTAGGCCCAAATCTAGTTTTTTGCCCAGCTAATTAGAAACATCGTCTGAGAGGCCCTATATCTAATTTTTATTTACATTCGTGTTGTAATATTACCACCCTCCCATCCCGCATCTGAGTTTCTTTCCCAAGGCGTGGTGGGGGAAGCACTGGTTGGGTATATGAAGTGACCCGCTAGTGATGTCATCAGCAGTATACTACAGGCCAACCGTAAGCTTAGATGAACTCAAAACTGACCCTGGTTGGGTATATGAAGTGACCCGCTAGTGATGTCATCAGCAGTATACTACAGGCCAACCGTAAGCTTAGATGAACTCAAAACTGACCCTGCTCTGCCGTGTCTAGCAGGGGGGGGGGGGGGGGGGGGAATACGCTACAGGCAATTAAAAAAAACTTTGAGGTTACTTATTTGAAAACTATATTCTATTTTTGGATGAAATGTTTATTTCCAAAGTACAGTTTCTTTCTAGTAGGCTATATCTAAGCTACTCGGGCTGATCTACTTGTTCATCAAATGGTAAAAAGCTAAAATTAGTTTTTTGCTTTTGAAGACTTCCATTTAAATCATGATACTATGTCCATCTTTAAAAGAGAAATCGTGGTTTCAGCTGTTCTGTTTATTATTGACATTGTTAGTACGGAGGCTGACATTGGTGAGGTGGGGAGGAGTTGAGTTGTTTTACACTGGGATATGGCTATGTTTGCTAGGCTTAATAGTTTCTCAGTAGCAGGGGGGGGGGGGTGTTAAAATGTTAAATTATGTCCTGAAATTTTGGTTTTTCTCCTGAAAAACTCCTGGAATTCTAAGTTAACTTTGGTGTAGGAACCCTGCTTTACATAAATATGTGTTAGGATAATAATGAGGTGGGGGGGGGGGGGCTGGACAATTATGTTGAATTAATTATCTTTTGTTGAGTTAAGCGGAGTTCTAATTATAACGGAGCTGTCTTGTGTATTGTACCATATTATAAGCTTTTAATACAGGGGTGGCAACATTCAAGGGAATCCTGAAGGGTTGCCAAATTATGCAGAAAATGTCAATAAAATTTCTTTACAGACTTGACTACCAATAGATTGGAGAAGCCAAAACCTGTATTGCTCTAAGTTCTCAGTATGAGCCCTTAGTTTCTTTTAGGACATTCTGAAATTTGTGTCAACTTCTTTCGTCACCATGAGACTTATTAACATCTGACTTAACTGGAAGCTTTCAGTAAGAAAGCACAGCATTGGTTCTTTTGGTATATGAAATAGCTTAGTAGTTTATAAGGCCTCTGAAAATGAAAGGATAGTGTGGTCACCACTACCTAGTCGCTTTTATTTTCACTAACATTGTTGGACTCGTACACTTCACCAACTCACTACGGTGTATCATTCTTTTAAAAGCACACTGCCAAAAAAATCTGATCACTTGGTTCTTTTCTATACTGCATTACGCTGGTTGTTCATGAAAATTGTAATAGTGTCATGGATTTAACAATGGTTAGTCTTAGTCGTGCAAAGGCAACATGTTTTAGGTATACTTCAGCAACAATGCACAGATAATAGCTGTAGCATATCTAGCATCTGTATTAGTACAGACAAATAGTCTTAAACTTCAAGGAAACAAATCATATGAAAAGGTGGGAGGGTGTTGGAAAAACTGTACATTGTGACAGCAAGACCAGTTCCCTGGACTGACATGACTACATTGATACAAAATCTATGCTTTCATTGATGTAGTCAGTCTTGGTGATACACAAGATGTTTTTGCATGAGGTTGGAGTTTACAAAAATGCAACAATGAAATTTGAAGCTGGTCAAAACATGCTATTGCAACAATACTATTTTTTTAAAACTATTGCTACACACACTATTTTGGTCAGTTTTTTCTATTAAAAATGATTTATTTTTCAATAGGGTTTAAGAAGGTGTCTAAATGGAACTTAAATATAAAATGTGCTATCTGAAATCTTAAGAGCCTGTGTTTCATTTAGAATTTGTTGCTGTAACTTATTTAATATTATTGTTATTCATAAAAAAATTGCTATCTAGAATTTTTATATTTTTCAGGAATGGTTTCCGTGAGGGCACTGTACCCAAGCCTAGGAATAAGATTGCAGCACCTGCTTCTTCTGCTGTTGCTACTAAATAAATAAACGCTGTTTATGAAACTTTTATGGTTGCATATTTTGTTATTATCTGTTCTGTGTTGAAGTTGTTGTTAGCTTTTGGACTAAACATTGGTTTAAGTAATTGTATTATAAGTTTTGTGTGTGATAGCACAAACAGGGGTGCCACTTTTCCGGGATATCCCGGATTTGAGAATCATATTTTTTTCCTTTTCCGGATTCGCAAGATTTGAGTTTGAAAATTTCCGGGTTTGCATTTTAAAAAAAAATTAGATAGTTTTAAGCTTGAAATTTTTGGCATTGTAAAAATCGTTTTTATCGTCAACACTCCCGCTAATGGCCTTTTCCGAAAAAAATGAATAGTAAATGACGTCAGCAACAATCTCACGCGTGCGCCAAGGACCAAATACAAATCGGCTGTATCAGATGGGTGAGGTTGTAGACGAAACTTTTTGATGTCATTCGTGGTGTGGTTGTCTGGTTATTTATGACGATATGGGTTGGGGGTAAAACTCGCATTATTTACGTGATGTCATCAATGGGATACCGCTAGGCTGTGTAATAAAAACAACTAAAGCCTACAAGTACTAGATCAAGCTCACTAGCATCGCCGATGGTTTTTAAAAAAAAAAAAAAACGAAAGATTTTGCTCAGATAAAAAAAAAATTTTTTTTTTTGTATTTGGTATTACCAAAAGAAAAGAAAAAAACTATTTGAAGGACTATTTTATATATTTTTACCACCTCTTACCCGCTTCTTCAAGGTCGCGCTGACCGTAAGACCTACGTCACGAGACCACGCAAGCACAGTCTGAGTCGTGTCTCACGGTCAAGGCAGTTCTACAAGTACAAGCGCTGTTTAATTTTAACGTGGTTATTTTTAATAAGGGCCTACTTCTAGATTCAAGAAAGAAAAAAAACTAGAACTGCATCGTTTTATATCATTAAACAAAATATGTAGGCCTGCTATAATTTAGTTACACAATCTAGCAGGGTCTACATCTAATTGTTTTTTTTACTTTGGTAAAACGTCATTGAAATGTTTAAAAAACCTTGAAGTACCGTGTCTGAGAAAATAGCCGCTATCACTGCCCCCTCCCAACCGCTTGTAAAAAAAAAATCAGCTTTTCACTTAGTCGGGCGGCTACATCTCTGACATGAGTATTACTAGCGTAGTTACTTCTAAAATTATTTTTAAAATTAACTTAATTCTGTTATTCCGCGATATGGACTTAAAACTTCCATGATATTTCTTCACGTCATCATGTATATCAATGGTGGGGGCGTTGGGGTCGTTCATAAATGACGTCACACTCGTAAGGGGAGGGGGGTTCGCAATTTTGTCATGAGGGGGAGGGGTTCAGATGGTGTGACATCACACTTTTGCATTATCCAAAAGCTATGTTAGAAAACGAATTTTAGCCGTTATTTCGCGTTTTAGAATATTGTTTCAATAAAGTGTAATAGGAATTGATTAAAATACTCTATGTTGACAGAGGTCAGACAAGATTTTTGGAAAATATCGTATTTTAAGAAAAATTCGACTGCAATTTTTAGGGGTGGGGGGGGGGGTGTAGGCTGAGGTGTGACGTCATTTTAGAGGGCGGGGTCTGGCTTTTTGTGACAGATATGTGACCGAGGGGAGGTGGGAGGTAAAAATCGTCAAAAAAGCGTGACATCATTTATGGATGACCCCATTGGTGGTTGATTGGGAAAACAGGGTTTTAGGTTTTTGTTGTGGCTGTTAATAATTAAAGCCTTGAATAGCTACAGTAAGTCAACCCTGTATTTTAATACAGTGACAATCTTATTAGGTGTCTGCATATAGTGCGCTTATTATTCAATAACAAGACATAGAGGTTAGCAATTGGCTGACTACACACTTTAAATCAAGCTAGGAAGTTCTCAAAAATTAAATACAGTAATGTTATAAAAGCTGGCTGGGAGGGGGGGGGGGGAGTTCTACAATAACACATTATGGGGTAGGCCTAGAGATGGGTGGGACTAACATTGTAAACTAATTTTGTTGTAAGCACAATCCTTTAAAGATTAATTTTTATTTCAAGCTTGTTACAAAGAAAATAAATCCATTTTAAAGGAATTTAAATTGAACATAATATGAATCAAATGTCTCAAGAAATAATGAAATAATAGTCCATTTTATTTTGAAATTCCGCGCGAAATTAAGTTTCAGGGTTTCAAAAATTTCAAATTTTAGTTTCAGGATTGGTAAAATTTTGGGATTCATTTAGAAAATGAGTGGCACCCCTGCACAAAATTTGTGTTGTTTTACATGACTAAAGAATTAAGGGTTTCTCTGCTTTTGAATAACAGCATAAGATGTATTGTAGTTGTAGAGTACCTTATCTAAGTGGTCTTGTTAAAATATTAGATACAATTGAGGTAATATTAGGTCTTATTTCCTTAATACTAGTACTACATAAGTGCATCTCAAACCCCTTGCTGAGGCTTACATGAAGATAGCAGGATTATTTGTGGTGGTTTTTCAAAAATAAACCTATGACAATGATTCTTTAGAACCTGAGATGCATTTGCTTTCAATCTATATTATTGATACAAAAATGTTTTACCATTAACCGCAAATTTAAGTTAAACCAAGCTATTTGTAGATCTAGCATTTTTTTTTTAAATACTAATAATGCCATGAAGCTTAAGTGTTAAGTTAAATAAACTTCAAATCAAACTTTTATCAAATACCACATCTACTAAGTTACTACCTTGATCTGAAGAAGCCATTATTAACTGAAGTAACGTTCTTTTAGCCGTTATCGTGGCCTACCTAGAAAATACTAAAATAAAAAAGTATCCATAGTAGTAGAAGTTTTAGAGGTGCGTTTGGCAGATTAAGTAGTAATAGTAGTACTATTAGTGGCACTATTCTCAAGTTTATATTAAATCCAGCACAAGTTCATATGGGTAAATGACATCTCTATTAAGTCATATCGGTTATAAAAATGAATAACCTCTGTCACTGAATTAAGCCACCGACAGCTTGGCTATCCATTGGGCAGCTGATTAAGTATTTAGTTCACCGGCCTGTGGTCAGCATTATGCTCAGTCCCCTTTACACATTCACGAACGTTCAAGTACCCATCTGAGCTACGTGGACTAAGGGCGTCAAAGACCCAACTCGAAACTTGGTCAGTTATGCGTGGAGCTTCTTTCAGTCTGAAACACCCCACCCCCCCCTTCCGAACGAAATTTGAATTTATATAGAAAATGTATACTTTTGACACTTGACAGTGTTCCCCCCCCCCCCCCCCCCCCCCCCCCCCCTAGAAATTGTGTGCACCCCCGGAGAATTAAGTCTGGAAGAAACACTGAAGAAGACGTCGTCCTCCACCTTTTGGGAGCTTATGTTACAATCTAAGTAGCAGTACACAAGTAATATCTAGATCTAGAAAGCGCTTCTCCCTCCTTTCCATTCGGGAGCTGTGTTACTAGTTTTTCTACGCCAAGTCGCGAAACAAGGGGTTTATAGACCCTAGTAGTAGTAAAAGCTAGGCTAGTCTAGACCTAAAACAAATGTATTTGTTATCTCCTCTATTGAAGATCTTAATTCTTAACCAATAGTGGTTCAGTTTTTATTTTTTGTTAGCCAATCAAATGTGTGTGCTTTATTATAAATAGGCCTATGCCTAGGCCCCTACCTAATGCAAATAGCTAGCCTAGGCTGGGATTAACTCATATTTAAATAGTAAACACGTCCAGGCTTGTTTGTCTATAAATAGAAAATTTCCACATGCAATAGCATTCGTAAATACTTAATAAATACACCTGACAGGTTCTAGACCTAGTTAGTAGTCTAGTCACTAGTGTCTAATCGATCTATTACTTTAGCCTGCGTTTTTAGTGGCTGTAGAAAACTGTACTAGTGTACTGTGTTGTAGATAGATCATAGAATCTAGTCTAGATCTAGAAATCTAGATTCATCTCTAGATTCTAGATCTAGAATTCTAGATACTAGATAGACTCTAACTAGCTAGACGAACTTACTACTTTAAGTACTACTACTACTAGATCTAGTACTTAGATCTAGATCTAGTACTTAAACTTTAGACGAGATCTAGATTTATATCTAGATTCTAATCTAGCCAGTAGTACTAAGTACTTAGCTCTCCTAGATCTAGATCTAGACTAGATCTAGATAAGTAGATGAGTCTAGATCTATATTCATATTAGATCTAGCTAGACCCCTCTAATTACTAATTACTAGTAATTAGTAATTAAGTAATTACTGCTGCAGTACAGTCACTCAGTTAACACCACAGGCACAGGTCAGTGCAAATGGTTTAATTTTAATGTAGATCTAGAATCTAGATCTAGATTACATCAGTCCAGTTGACAACTGAGTTGTCAAGTTGCAGTCAAAATAAATTTTATATTTATTAATTTAAAAGATTGATTTTAACTTATTTTAATTAGGCCTAAGTAATTTGAAATTGAATTCTAGATATTAGATAAATTAATCTAGATCTAGATCTAGAGATTCTAGATCTAGAAGTAAAAAAGCCACAAAAATTTAAGGAGAATAAGTTACTGAATATTCTGAATAAGCCTTGAATTTGATTTCCTTTTTAATTTAAGAATAGAAAATATTGTAGGATTATAAATAAATGTGTGGTGTTTTTTTTTAGTGACTTATTCATAAGTATTAGGCCTACAGTCATATTATTAGGCCTACAGTTAGGCCCATAGTTTACAAAGTTTACATTAATAATTACTTCTGACTAAAAATATTTAGATCTAGAGTCTATGTCTCTGTGACACTATGTGTGCAATGAAATTTACAATATGAGTCTATGAATACAACCTGAGCATATGCATTAATTATGTATTTTAAATTTTTAATTAATATTTTTTGTATTTTTTTTTCTTATTTTTAGTAGATTCAAAAGATAATTCTTAAGGTTTTTAAATATATTTTGTATTTGTATTGTTACTCCATTATCTGATAATGCCATTAAAATGGACTATAGTAATCTTTCCATTAACTGACTAGACAAATAATATTACTTAAGTCATAGCTTTACTGTTTCTAACAAATATTCTGTTATAGGTCTCTTTTAAATATGGCATACTTTGAACTAGAAAATGAAGTGAACAGTGCCTTAAGAATGGATCATACAATACCCCGTGGTCCTCTACTACACTCTCAGCGATGTGAACAGTCAAACTCTAATTCAGCCACAAATTTGTCTCTGAATACCAGCAGTAGTGCTGTGAAAACTCCCTGTAAGGCACTCAGTAAAGAATACTCAAGTACAGCTAAAACTCCTAGTAGAACACCAAGTTCAACAGGTATTGAGTTTTAATAGAATTAAATTTCACTCTTAAAACTGTAAATGGGTGAAAAGTTGAGCTTAGGAAAAAATTAAATATTTTATATGGTTTTATGTGGGTTTGCACTGGCAGATGCCATGTTGCCTTCCAACGACACATCTTAAATTTGGGCTGTTGTATTTAAGTGTACATCTTTGGTATCATAAGTTATTATCTGCTGATGGACACTTTGCCCAGTCAGCTTCACCAGAGCCAGGTGTTTCAAGTGGCCTCCATGGTTACTATAATGGCCTTACTTCACCCATCCCCAGCTATCACCTACTTAACGTTTTCTATAACACCCCCCCCCCCCCCCCCCCCCCACAATGAGGACAAAGATTCATTTTTACCATTCACAAAATGGTTAACTTTTACAGTTATATTATTTAAAGTTTAAAATTTCATTTTGTAACTTTGCAGGACGAAAGAAAACACCTAGCAATCGTTCAAAAACACCATCGACTGCTGACAGATTTATCCCTGTAAGAAGCTCTACACAGTTTGATGCAGCACATTACAAGGTTAAACAAACATTTGTAACTTTAAGGAAAGTTTAGAGATTGACTAAATCAAAAGCACTATTGAAATGATTTTAAACCAGAACCATAGAGTAATTAATAGAATTTAATATTGTTGTCCATGTTTAACAAGTGATTTTTGTATATTTTAAGATTTGCACTCAAACAGAAAGTTCCGCTGTACAATGGTCATTGATGAGTCCTTCCCAGCAGGAGTACAGGCAACTGATGAATGAAAATTTAAATGGTGACACACTACAGAAAAAAATTATTTCATTTAATGAAAAGCCACCAATGGCACCTGAAGGTTTGTCTATATTTATTTGTTCTGGTAATCGTATACTAAACATTTGCTTGTTTCTGTTTTTACTATTAGACAAGATAAAAGTTGAAGACTTTAATCTGCTTCTAACAGGCTATCATAACAGTTTACAAGTATTGTACAGTACAAGTAAAGTTGGTGCCAGCTGTAAAAAAACAACCAGGCATATTCCACAACAGCCAGATAGAATCCTAGATGCTCCAGATATACTGGATGATTATTGTGAGTTTTTTGTTAAACTGTAGCTTTTGTCGCAGTTTTCACATAATTTGAATTGACATAATTTTAAGCCAGTGTTTTTCTTATTTTATTTTTTTATCACGTAACTTCAGGTTTTTAAAAAATTTCTTACAGATTTGAGTTTAATTGATTGGTCTTCTCAAAATATGCTGGCAGTTGCATTGGGTTCCAGTGTGTATCTGTGGAATGCTTCTAAAGGAGAAATCACACTTCTTCTCCAACTAAGTGAGGTGGGCGGAGATTATGTCAGTTGTGTTAACTGGACTGCTGATAGTAACCATCTAGCTGTTGGTTTATCAAGTGGATGTGTTGAGGTGATTTGTCTTTCACGGTATTCAATTACTAAACTTATTTGCACTGCAGCTACTTGCACAGATAATACATACATAAAAATTACATTATTTGTTAATTTGATTTGCAATATTTAAATGTTGTTTTACTAATGTTTGTACTATTAAGACAAACAAAAAAACAGGAAAGATTGCTGTAGTAAAACCAAGTAGAAAGTAGAATCTAATCGCGGAGATATGCAAACTGACAGTTTGTTTAGGATTTTTAAAGATAACTTGTATGATTGAATATTTCATTCCGTTGCGTCATTGTAATATTACAGTGACTAATTGATTTGAATTTCAGCTGTGGGATGCTTCTCAACAGAAAAAATTAAGAACAATGTCTGGCCACGCTGCAAGGGTTGGAGCTTTAGATTGGAACTCCTATTTACTGAGCAGGTTTTCATACAATATTTTGATCTCTCCCCATTCTCATCTTTTCTTTATCTGGTTTTAGAGAGTATTATCTTTTTTCAAGTGCTGCCACCTACTCATCTTCTTTTTTTTTTTTTTTTTTGGTTAAAGTCTATTTTTAAAAGAAATTTTAAGATTCAATTTCTTAAAAAATATTTCCTATTTAAACACTAGTGGTTCAAGAAGTGGTAGCATTCATCACCATGATGTAAGGGTGGCAGAACATCAGGTTGGCACCCTACTAGGTCATACACAGGAAGTTTGTGGCCTTAAGTGGTCACCTAATGGGAGACATCTAGCCAGTGGCGGTAATGACAACGTGCTTAATATTTGGCCAGCGACTTCTGGGTCCTTCACCACTGCTGCAGAACCTCTTTACACATTCAATCAACACCAGTCAGCTGTGAAGGTGACTATCATATAACATAGCCAGCTGTTTTATTTTGTTTAAGTAGACTTACTATTTCTTTTACTTTAACTTGTTTATTCAGCACTATATTTTGATCAACCGATTACTCTTGTATTTAGTTTTCATACAAAAAGCTTACTGACAGAAGGGAATAAAAGATATTGAATTTGGAAAGCGAGAAAAGTAAATGATGTATTGCAAACTAAACAACTTTTAACATTTTTTTCTTAAAATTTAGATGACATGCAAAACATTTATAGAATGTTTTTTAAAACTAAATTTTTTGTCATTATTCTGTTCAGGGGTGGATTAAAGCACTTTATGATATGACAGTGAAAAACGCAATGATAAAGATTATTATATGCATTGTTTACTATTCTGTTTATTTATGTTCATAGTAGTTTTTTGTTGATCTTTTCTTAATTTTTTGAGCATTTATCAATGAATTCTATTTTTTTTTAAAATGATTCAGGCTTTAGCTTGGTGTCCATGGCAACCAAATGTTCTGGCTAGTGGTGGAGGTACAGCAGATAGACACATCAGATTTTGGAACTGTAACAACGGCACCAGTCTAAGCTCTGTAGATACCAACTCTCAGGTATAGTTCATCATTTTTCTAAAATTCATACAGCAAATATTATTTCATAATACAGCCATTAGCAAAGCCGTTAATTCTGTTGATTCGTTTGGAATTATTCATTATTAATTAGTTATGTTGTAAATATCTTATGTGTTGATTTTTAGGTGTGTGCTTTGCTTTGGTCTGTGGATTATAAAGAACTGGTCTCAGGTCATGGCTATATGCACAATCAACTCATTCTGTGGAAATACCCAGCCATGAGTAAAGTGGCAGAACTTACAGGTAAAAGTCAGATTTTTTTTCTTGTTAGCAGAAAAAATATTTTTATTTAGTTAATTAATTAAACCATTTTTTTTTTAAATTAATTTATTGAAATGTTAATAAAAATATCCAGGTGTGTTTAATTTAGACAAAAGAAACGTTTACTACTGCACATGTGCCTGTGAGACTATAAAATACTTTTCTCTGTCCCAGGTAACACAGGCAGGGTACTGCACATGCCAGACTATAAAATACTTTTCTCTGTCTCAGGTCACACAGGCAGGGTACTGCACATGCCAGACTATAAAATACTTTTCTCTGTCTCAGGTCACACAGGCAGGGTACTGCACATGCCAGACTATAAAATACTTTTCTCTGTCCCAGGTCACACAGGCAGGGTACTGCACATGCCAGACTATAAAATACTTTTCTCTGTCCCAGGTCACACAGGCAGGGTACTGCACATGCCAGACTATAAAATACTTTTCTCTGTCCCAGGTCACACAGGCAGGGTACTGCACATGTGCCTGTCACCAGATGGTACAACAGTAGTCTCTGCTGGCGCTGATGAGACGTTGAGGTTGTGGAAATGTTTTGAGGTTGATGCCAAGACAAAGAAAACAAAAACCAAAGCTGAAAGCAAAGATTCAACTTCCTGTTTGAGGTTACATTTGCGATAAGAATTAGTACAAACTAGTTACTATTTGGTGGTATTTTAAAAATATTCATTGCTTTACTGAGCTGTGCATTTCTTTTTTTTATTGACTTTGTGTCAAACTGTGATTTATTTTTATAGCTGTATATGCTTTTGGTTATTTCTGGGCAAGTATTTTTTATTTTTTTGGTACTAGGCCTTCTAGGTGAAAGATTTCCATTCATTTACTTTAAGAAGTTAAAAAAAAGTTTCTCACAACATTTTTTAAGTCTCCATCACAGAATAGGTAAAAATAATTTAATATTTTAATTTACAAATTTGAGTTTTTTAAAACTATACATTTTCACTAATATAAAGCAATTTATATGCAACACTAACTATAACAAGTAAAACTAATTTATTAATTAGTCTAAATGGTAGATAAACATTATGATCCCAAAGTATTTTTCTTATTTTAAAATTTACTTTTTAAATAAATGAGGTTAAATGTATTGAAAACAAACAATATTAAATAGCTACTAACTTGGTTGTATTGAATGTAAACAGTAGACAAACATGAACACCAAGATGTGAGAGTCAACAGCCTGATGTTAGCAGAAATACTTCAGTATTTGTGTTGGACCATTCATAGGCTGTTTAATATTGTGTGGCTGTTATTTGTAAAAAAAACTTACATATTTTTAGGTCATGTTCATAATCATCATATTATTTTAGAAAGTGCTATAACATTATATGTTTTTAACCAAGGCTATAGTTTTTAATCTATTATATTTATATTACTAGATATATTTTTTTTATAAAATATTTTAGGCTGTTTTTATGCTTTATATGTTGTGTACATTTCTGCTATTTATGGAACATTTTTTGCGTTCATTTTACATTAAATATAAATGTATATTGAATTTTGAATAAACATATGTTGATACTGAGCAGACTGATTTTAAAAATCTTTAATGTTTTACTCCCATGTTTATGTTGTTGAATTCAATATAATATTCACATTAAAGAATGGGGAAATGTAAAACCATATTTCCTTTGCAGTTGTAAGAGTGACTGTCAAAAAAATAAAATAACAAAATCAACTGTCAAACTGTCATCAATATAATAAGTTAAAACTCAGACTAAAAATCAGGATTTTTTTGTGGAAGCAAGAAAAGGTAAAGGCCCCATGTGTCCTGGGCACAGAAAAAAAAAGACATTGAAGAAAATTTATAATAGAAATTATGGAACACGCCATTACGGAACAAGACAAATTTTAATGTGTAAAGCTGAGACATTCATCAGTGACAGCTACATGACAAATTTTGTTCTAGACATTAAAACAGACATTCATCTGTGACAGCTACATGACAAATTTTGTTCTAGACATTAAAAACAGACATTCATCTGTGACATCAACTTGGCACATTTTCATGTGTAAAGCTGAGACAGAAAGTCTATGACAGAAGAGGTTAGAACTGCAGCCACCACTCCTGCAGAAGATCTGAGAACAAGTTCCAGTCAATAGCACACTGAGATACCTAGTGAAGCTTCCAGTAAAAAGTGACATTTCTCTGTTCAACTGGAGAGAAATCTTGCGATTGTATGATATACCCCTAACTGGGACCTTACCAGAATTATGCAAGAAAGACTGAAGAAAATATTGGACAAGAAATTGGGAACAGGCAGGTTTTAGTCAGAATATATCATGTACTCACCCAGGGGCGTAGCGAGGGGGGGGGGGGGCCGGGGGGTGCGGACCGCACCGGGTGACACCATTTAGGGGGGTGACACCAAGGCAAAAAATAGCAAAATATATAGAGAAAAACTCGAGGGGGGGTGGGGTGCAAATCGAAAACTTGAGGGGGGGGGGGGTGCAAATCGAAAGTTTGAGGGGGGGGGGTTGCAAATCGAAAATTTGAAAGTTTGTCCCTGGGAAGGGTCTCTATGCCTCTGGGGGGGGGGGTGACACCATTAAGTGCCGCACCGGGTGACACCCGACCTCGCTACGCCACTGTACTCACCACACAGCCACTAAGAACATACATGTTAAACAATCACATGGCAATCACCTCTGTATTTGACCATTGAGGATTCTGAGTGGGCGTTTGATAGTGTAGACATAAATGACGTCACGCTTTTTTGACGCTTTTTACCTCCCCCTCCGCTTCGTCACACATCGTCACAAAAAGGCAGAGCCCCTCTTAAAATATCGTCAGACCTCATCCTACCCCCCCCTCCTTAAAATTGCAGTTGAATTTTTCTTTAAATACGATATTTTTCCAAAATCTTTTCTGAACTCTGTCAACATAGAGTATTTTAAATAATTCCTATTAGATCTAGATCTACAAGTTTTCTAAAACACGAAATAACGGCTAAAATTCGTTTTCTAACATTACTTTTTTATTATACAAAAGTGTGCCGTCACACCATCTGAACCCCTCCCCCTCATCACACACCGTCACAAAATTACGCCCCCCCCCCCAACGAGTGTGACGTCATTTATGGACGACCCTTTAGTAGATGTGGTAAGAGTTTTTAGCGCAATTTCCATACTGGCAATTGCGATTATTAACTCGTCATTTCTGGTGATGGATGTGTGTCCGCAGCTTTAAGTCGTATCTCCTCCTCAACGAAGCAATATCGAGGACTAGTTCCAAAAGCAAATATGTTAAGCAAGTTCCGAGGATGATTGTGGGCCAAAAAAATTCCCGGAATTCCTTCCTGGATTTCCCGGAAAAGCCAAAAAACCTGGAAAAAAATGTAGTTTTTGGCCCATATCTCGGCAACCAGACCACTTAGCGACTTGAAACATTTACCAATCGATTCCTGCCATAATTTAGAACAATATTGCCGAAGAAAGTTTTCAAAAATATCCTTTCGTTCGGTCACAAAAAATTAATTAAGAATTTTTAAACTGAACATCGTGTAGGCCTAGGATGATATTTTTAATTTAAACTGAGCATCGTGTAGATTTTAGCGCAAAAAAATATCCTTTCGTTCGGTCACAAAAAAATTAAAAATTGTTATGGATAACATAAGGACACATTTTTAGACGTAGCATAGGTAGACTTTATTTAAATATTATTATTAATTAAGCCTACTCTAAAATCGAAGAATATCTCTTAAGAATAAAATTTGTCTCATGTCTTTTTATTTTTTGATAAACTTTTAAATATTTTTTAGAAATCAAGGGACATGACTAGCAATTATTGGACAAGCGGCCATAACAACGAAACGAGCTTACATTTACATTTCTTATTAAATTAAATCTTATTCAATAAGACTTATTGTCTCACCCATAAGATTAAAACAACAACAACAAAGCTATAAAAATGGAAACAATGTGTTGACAATTGTGCCACATATAATATAGATCTAGATCTTGATTTCTGATTCTAAATCATGACCAAAGATAGTAAATCACAGTCCACAATCAGACGGAGAAAAGGAAAACAAGTGGCGCTTGCTTTACAAAAGATCAAAGAAGAAACTCCTAAGCAGATAATTGGCTTTGATGAACAAATTGCTGCACTAGAGGCGGATGAAAAATGCTACTTGTTTGATGACAGAGTAATATTATAGTAATAGATCTATATATTAATAGTTTAATAGGCTATTTTACATTTACACTACACTTGATGGGGGTGGGGGGGGGGGGGGGGGGGGGGAGGATCATGTAATTTTTTTGTTTAAATCATTAGGCCCAATAAATTGTTTATTACTTACTTAGGCCTAGTTGTTTGTGTAGAAACCTGAAAGAAAACCTTCTCAGCAGTGTCTATTATTAAATACATTAAATGTTGAAAATTAGAATAAAGTGTTTTAAAGAATAGCTCTATAATGAGCACTTGTTAAAAGATTTTCATCTAAAAAACAACTATAAACTGGAGCTGAGTATGTTTTTTTTCTATGGGAAAAAACTCAAATTATTGAAATATTTGACAGGTTTTTGGACCAGTCATGTTACGACGTTTGATGTTCAGCTCTCGCTCATTGTTTCTGGCCCTGTTTTCAATACGAGTGGCAAATGCATTGCTGATACAAACACAATATGTCCCTGATGAATATTGGCAGAGTCTTGAAGTGGCGCATAAAATGGTATTTGGGTAGGTCACAATCTGGACATCTATATTCATTTTAATTTAAACTTTTATAAAAATAGAGCAAGTTAAGTATACATGTATATTCTTTGTAATTAGTGTTTCTGTTAATTACTTAGGTATGGTTACATGACATGGGAGTGGAGAGAAGGACTTCGAGGCTACTCTTATCCTTTACTTTTTGCTTTTTTCTTTAAAATTTTGAACCTCTTGGGCTTGGACTCACGGACAGTGTTGGTAATATTTCATTTAAAACAATTTTTTTTGTAATTTTGGTATGAGTGCACCTCAAATGACAAGACTTTTAAAAAAATTAATCCTCAAATATCAGATGTAAACAATGTTCTTTGTCGCCAGATCAAGGTGCCTAGGCTTGTTCAAGGCTTTATTGCAGCCTATGGTGACCTTCAGTTGTACAAACTTTCATCCAAGCTAAGTGGGAGAGCTACAGCACAGTGGACACTTCTGTGCCATGTAAGATTTTTTTTTAGTATAATCTTTAATTTTTATAGTAATTTTCTTCTTGTAAATGGCAGTTTCAACACCTCAAAGTTAGATTCTAAAAAACATACTCCACAAACTTGTACACATAAATAAAATCTTCAGACTTATCATTGTTGTAACAACTTTTAAACTTAATTAAAATTGTTAAAAGTTAATAATAAAATTGTATCTGTTTTGCCAATTCACTAATGCATACATCACCTCACAGCTCCTTTCCTGGTTCACAATTTACTGCTGTACAAGAACCTTGAGCAACTCCACTGAGACAACTCTTGTCATTGCTGCACTAAGTTACTTCCCATGGCCAGATCACCCCTCGTAGGTCAAGTTATATCTACCTTTGCATAACGTTATAAAAATATTTGATCAAACTTTGTCACATAATTTAATATTTAATTACTCTATTGTATTCTTGTAATTTAATTCTATACAGCATAAAAGTTTGACAACTGCTTATATTTGAATAATTTAGGCAGCCCAAAGATGTGTACAAGTTTTTGATTCTAGCAGCCCTTTCAGTTATAGTTCGTCCCACTGCTGCTGTCATTTGGATACTGCTCTGCTCATGGCACTTACAACGGATGCATGGATCACCTTTGTTTAGCAATGTTGTCAAAAATTATTTTTTTGTCGGGTGTGTAGACTTCAATCATTAGAGAAAATTAACATTTCAGCTGTTTGATTGTAAAACTTGTTTCTTCCAGTGTTAGATCTCTAAAACTAAACAATGGCCTTGTTTTGTGCTATAATTGACCTGTTACTGCTACTTTAAAAAAAATATACTTGTCTAAAATTTTCAGATTTCTGATGCTGGGTATCTCTGTGGTGATTGATCGCGTTTGGTATGGTCGTTGGGTTTTCGTCCAGTTGAACTTCCTGTTGTTTAACGTGGTCCATGGCGGAGCTAGCATCTACGGTGTTCACCCCTGGCATTGGTATTTTTTTCAAGGATTTCCCGTCATTTTAGGAACTTTTATTTTCCCTTTTCTCCTGGGTGCATGGCGGTCCAAAAACAAAGGATTGCTGTGGATCATTTTGTGGATACTGGCTACACACAGGTTAGATTTAGTCAATTTGTACAGACGCATTTTAATTTTATTCAAACTATTATTTGTTGTCATTAATTGTTTATGCAAAATTTTATTACATTTTTAAAATCCAAAATAAATAAATATTAAATTTTTGAATTCCTCTCCAGTTTTCTCCCGCACAAGGAGTTTCGTTTCATTCTCATGGCTCTTCCATTGGCGATGCATTACTGCGGCGTTTATTTCCAAACGTTATGTTGCCAGCCTCCGCTCAAAAAGTTCAAACCTAAAAAGGAGAGCAGCAGAAAGCAAGCTGAGCCAGACGACAACAAAAGTCAGCAGAGCTGTGAGAGTATCCAGGAGGAAGATGTGGGTGATGAGGTGAAGGCAGCAACCACCACACAAGTAGCAGGAGAACCAGCAGGGTCAAAAAGTCAAAGTTCCAGCAGTGGTGATCACCTGCAGGCATCAAGCAGTGGTGATCACCTGCAGGCATCAAGCAGTGGTGATCGCCTGCCTGCAACAGGGAGTCCAACACAAGCTGACAGTGAGGAGGCCAAAAATAGTTTTCAGAACAGAAGAGCCAAACTCCAATCTTCAGGTACTTTGGAGGAAGATGAGGACTCCAAAGTAACAGTTGACCCTGAGGTAACAACTTTAATATTTTAAAATTTTGTTTAATTAATAAATAACTGTAGTCCATAAGATGGTTTGGCTGAGTGGCAGAGCATTTGAATGCTATTCTAAAAGTCTCAAGTTCAGATCCTAGATTCAGGTATCTATTAGTAAAACCTGAGTCGACCCAGCTTTAATGGGTACCTGACTTGTCACAAGGAAAGTAAAGTAGTTGTCTATTGCAGCCACATGTCATATGCACTAAAACAGATAAGCTGCTTCTCATCTATCTAAAAGGTAAAACTTTATTTGTGACTTAGTTAAGTGAAATTTTTGCTTGATCAAACAGGTGTTGAGAGATGCGCAACACAAGCGCAACCTGGCAAAGGCCAAGGTGTTTGTGGTACTGCTGGGGGTGACCAACCTGCTGCCTGCCATGTATTTCTGCCTGATACACCAGAGGGGAACCATCATGGCCACCAAGTACCTGCACGACGCCAGCCTCAAACACCCAGACATGGACGTGCTTTTCCTGATGCCCTGTCATTCCACACCTTACTACAGGTAACCTGTCATTCCACACCTTACTACAGGTAACCTGTCATTCCACACCTTACTACAGGTAACCTGTCATTCCACACCTTACTACAGGTAACCTGTCATTCCACACCTTACTACAGGTAACCTGTCATTCCACACCTTACTACAGGTAACCTGTCATTCCACACCTTACTACAGGTAACCTGTCATTCCACACCTTACTACAGGTAACCTGTCATTTCACACCTTACTACAGGTAACCTGTCATTCCACACCTTACTACAGGTAACCTGTCATTCCACACCTTACTACAGGTAACCTGTCATTCCACACCTTACTACAGGTAACCTGTCATTCCACACCTTACTACAGGTAACCTGTCTTTCCACACCTTATTACAGGTAACCTGTCATTCCACACCTTACTACAGGTAACCTGTCTTTCCACACCTTATTACAGGTAACCTGTCTTTCCACACCTTATTACAGGTAACCTGTCATTCCACACCTTACTACAGGTAACCTGTCATTCCACACCTTACTACAGGTAACCTGTCATTCCACACTTTACTACAGGTAACCTGTCATTCCACACCTTATTACAGGTAACCTGTCATTCCACACCTTACTACAGGTAACCTGTAGTTCCACATCCTACTACAGGTAACCTGTCTTTCCACACCTTATTACAGATGACATTTGATATGGTTCTTCATCAACAATGATTGAAACTACTCTTGATACATATGATACTACTCTTCTATGGATTCATATGTTTTAGCTTCCTTTTCAATAAGAAAATGTTTGATTGAGAGAAAAACTGGTTTCTTGTAATTTTTTGGTATTTTTTTATTTGATGAAGAAATTGCCCAGTGTACTAAATCAAGGATTTCACTATCCCACATATTTTAACAAAACCCTCCCCTCTCCCCAGCTACGTTCACCAGAATATTTCAATGAGGTTCCTAAAATGTGAACCCAACCTCCTGGGAGTCTCAAACTACACAGAGGAAGCAGAGTTCTTCTACCAAGATCCCAAGCACTGGTTGCAGAAGGAGTATGTCAAAAGGAAACGTCCCTGGCCTACACACATCGTTTACTTCAGCAGTCTGCTCAATGACATCAGCGGCCTTCTGACCCAGGCTGGCTACAGGCTGTGTGAGCAGTTCTTTCATACTCACGTGCCAGAGGGGAGGGTGGGGGGCAGTGTTTTGGTCAGTTGTAGGTAAGCTGGTTCACCCATCTGTAGGTGGGCTAGTCCAGCAAGGTGTTGTTACTTAAACCTCCAGTTGTCCATATAAATCAACACTGGCACAAATGTAGCTTGCTGTGTATCTAGTCAACATGTTAACTGTTCATTCAAAGCCTCTGTTGTGACTGCTGATGAGTTCATTCATTTCTCTGTAAGTTTGTTTCATTACTTTTTTATGTCAACAATTGTACATAATATCTAATATTTTTAAAACAATTCCATAAAAACACTGTTCTGACAATCACTAAGATCAAACCTCAGTTTACTAACATCATTCCACAGTTAACTTTCAACTCATAAAGTTCTTGTTTAGTAAATATTGACTCTACATTAAATTATTAGATGTACAAATATGTTAAAATAAGCATTAAACTACAGTTCAATTAGCTCTATGCACTAAGGACTTTAACTAATTAAAGTTTATAATTGATTTACTAATTCAATTTATTTATATCACCATAGCTGTTCTTCCTTTATTGCAATAGACGGAATATAAATATATTTATACCTTTATAAAGTAATATTATTTTACAAAAGTTTTTTTTATAGAACTAATGGTGTGAAACAGTGTTTGTTGAAGTTATTGCCAATAGACATCTCGTGTGGGGCTAAACTAGCAGCGGAACACCAGGCCCACCAGGTGAACACGCAAGTTGTGTTATTGTTAGAACGTGTTTGTGTTTACTGTATGCTCACGCTGCTGTTTTTGTGACCCACAGCACTATATTCTCTCAGCTCTAGCCATGTGACAGTGGACCATAGAGAGGGGTAGAGGGTGGAAAGGTTGCATAAGTGCACCATTTAGTGTGGTATAGATGGATTTGATAGTGTGTCAAACCTCATAAAAATTTATGCCAGTTGACTCCCTCATTCATCAATAATTTAATTTAAGCCAAGGTAGATTCTAACTATACATACATTTTTGTTATTCTTTTGAGAGGGGAGGGGGAGAAGAGAAAGTTTTTGTAAAGATTTGTTCATGTCTAGGCGTGGCCACTGAGTCAAGGGACAAATTCATTGGTTAGGCCTATAATGACATGGATCAAACTGTGCAATTGTAGTTGAGCTTTCAATTCAAACCTAGTCCAGCATGATCTGATGAATTACCCCATCATACAAGATGTTAACTATTGCAGTAACTTTGTTTTCTCTGACACCTCAGCAATAATACATCAGAAGGTGCTGTTATTAATTGATGTGACACAAGGCATTGTCATTTTTATTTTTAAAGAAAATGTTTTATTATTAGCCCAATTTTTAAAATAAGTCTTTTGTTGATGAATATATTTTCTACACACATTTAAGTGTAGAGAATTATTTTTGGTTTCATTGCATTTTTACAATTTTTGTTTTTTTGATAACCTTAAAAAAAATCATGATAGCTGATTTCAAAATTTAAAAAATTTAGGCAAGATTAAAAAAAACAATGCTAATTAGGTTAAACAATGATTATTAATGGCTTTTAATTACAAGATTGATCACATGAAGTCATTTGTTTAGCCTGATGTTATAATTTGAGTTTTCTTTTAAGATGATTTTAACTACTGGTTTAGAAGAATTTACTTTGTAAAGTTTGTGTTACCAAAATAAAACTTGAACACATTCCAATTTATTTTTAAGCTTTTACTTTAGACCTGACAGGTGTAGTCTAGACTAATTAACTTCAGCAAATGAAATATATTTGTCACTTTTATTTAGTTAAAAATATTTTTACAGCTATTTTAATCTGTTTCATTATTTGCATACTATTACTAGTAAAGGTGTAAGGATGGGCGCATTCTAACAATTGTTCCCTGATAACAATAACCTGTCCATGCTTTTATCTTAACACCAATTTACGTAGACTGATGTAGATTGACCACACATAGTTAGCTTCTGTGCAAAAATAGTTAGTGCCATAAATTGTGTCATACGCTATGTTTAAATATTCTGTTCTCATAATCTAATAAAACCATTTGAAATGTCTAAAATCTTGTCCAATTTGTTCAAGTCTTTCACTACGTCTTTTCTTAGATGTGGTCATTGTCATCTTTCAAAATGTTTAGAATCTTCCATTTTGTGTTCAGTCTTGTCTATTAACTATTGTGACGCTAATTACTAATTAGACCTAACTAGTAATTACCATTACCTGGCCGTCTAACTTTACCTCAATTGACAGCTAGTGATCCAATCAAGGATGTTGGGGCTATGGGATGATTCTCAAACTACTGGGCTTAGATTAGGCCTGGATGTCTACATACATTGGTCCAGCAAAGTGGGACGTTCACATATCTCAGCGGTTCTCAAACTACTGAGGTTAGATTAGGCCTGGATGTCTACACACAATGGTCCAGCAATGTTTGAGATTGGATCAGTAGTGTTGTAACAATTTGCCATAGGGCCATATCGTGCAAGAAATGTGACAGCATTTATTTTACTTAGTTTTTTGCAAAGACATTGTAACTATAACAAGAAAGGACTAAAATGGTCGCATGTTTATGGCGATCGTTATGAAATATCCTACAAAACTACAATGGTGTGCACTGTTATAAAATATCCTACAATGCTACAATGATGTGCACCATTATGAAATACCCTACAATGATGTCCACTGTTATAAAATATTCTACAATGATGTCCGCCATTATAAAATATCCTACAATCAGTACAAGTACAATGTGTCCACCGTTATTATCATATTATATGACCTAGGCCTACAGCGCGTAAATCTGATTGCTTTATTTCTTTAGTTGTGTGTGTTCGCTGTTCCGTGTGAGACTGGTGAGTGTACGTTAGGCCTACTTCACCAATTAGTATTACCAATTAATAAATTTCTCCTCTAATATGTTTTATAGACTTGTATAATAACAAGAATAGACAAGCGTTCTAGAGACGACCATTGGCTCTGACCATGTCCATGAGAGCAAACAATGGGTCCATTTTGGCTGGGTACTAGTAAACAAAACTCACGTGATTTACATAAAGGGAAGTAAATCTATGCCTCTATGTGTATACAGTTGGTCGCTGGCCAGTTCACGTCACGTGACTGATGACTAGAAAAGCATTTCTATGCAAATGACACCTATTACCTCCCCGTAAACAATGGGCGTATGTTGATGGCCTATTGTGTAACGTCCATGGGAGGCAACCCGATGACACACAGACCCGCCTCCATGGACTGTCCAGGACAATGTAAAAATGATTGTGCCAGGATGGAGCCTTCACGCAGGTTTGGCAAGGCTGAAATCATCTGGTCACGTGACGTAATTCTGTTTAAAAATAGACCAGCTGTTTACATTTGGTGCGCCCATGACACGGGAAATTTACGGGAATATGTGGCTGATGTGATGTGAGCTAATTACTCAAGATTAAAAACAAATTTCGTTTCTAATTAAAAGTTGTTCAATTAGTTTATTTTTACAACCAAATTTGCAATTTGTTCATTAAAAACTTAATTGTATTCATACATTTTTTTTGATAACATATGGCGCCCCTTGTATAGAGAGGGGATTCATAATGTATTTGTATGATCGGGGTGGGTCTTGATTTAGTCGCCTTAAGCTTGGAACTAATATACGGACAGTCGGTTCAGGCAGAGGCCAAATAGCCCATGCTGAGATAGGGCCCTGTAACCAAGCTAGAGGGGGCCCATTTACCATGCTGAGGTAGGGCCCTGTAGCCAAGCTAGAGGGGGCCCATTTACCATGCTGAGGTAGGGCCCTGTAGCCAAGCTAGAGGGGGCCCATTTTCCATGCTGAGGTAGGGCCCAATAGGCTGAGTGGAAGGTCACATTTACCATGCTGAGGTAGGGGCCCATTTACCATGCTGAGTTAGGGGCCCAGTAACCAGCCTGAGGTAGGGCCCCAGTAACCAGCCTGAGGTAGGGGCCCAGTAACCAGTCTGAGGTAGGGGCCCAGTAACCAGTCTGAGGTAGGGGCCCAGTAACCAGCCTGAGGTAGGGGCCCAGTAACCAGCCTGAGGTAGGGGCCCAGTAACCAGCCTGAGGTAGGGCCCCAGTAACCAGCCTGAGGTAGGGGCCCAGTAACCAGTCTGAGGTAGGGGCCCAGTAACCAGTCTGAGGTAGGGGCCCAGTAACCAGCCTGAGGTAGGGGCCCAGTAACCAGTCTGAGGTAGGGGCCCAGTAACCAGCCTGAGGTAGGGGCCCAGTAACCAGTCTGAGGTAGGGGCCCAGTAACCAGTCTGAGGTAGGGGCCCAGTAACCAGTCTGAGGTAGGGGCCCAGTAACCAGCCTGAGGTAGGCGCCCAGTAACCAGTCTGAGGTAGGGGCCCAGTAACCAGTCTGAGGTAGGGGCCCAGTAACCAGCCTGAGGTAGGGGCCCAGTAACCAGTCTGAGGTAGGGGCCCAGTAACCAGCCTGAGGTAGGGGCCCAGTAACCAGCCTGAGGTAGGGGCCCAGTAACCAGCCTGAGGTAGGGGCCCATTTACCATGCTGAGGTAGGGGCCCATTTACAATGCTGAGGTAGGGGCCCAATTACCAGGTTGACAGCATCGCCAAAAAATCCAGATTTAACTGGCCACACCAGCATTGTATTGTTCCCAGCTCAACACGCCCCACTCCGCGATACATTGGCCGGCTCTGCTGGATACACCAGGCTACAACCAGCCGCCTACTCATACCTCCACTCAATACAATATCATCCACGTTAGTCACCCCCACCCCAATCCCAACACCACGTACGTGACACCCCCCCCCCCCCTTACATAGCTGACGACTCGCCCAAAGTATGACAAAATTAATATGTTAATGGCCCCCAGCGCCCCCCCCCCAGCGCCACTTTGCCGGCACGTAGCTGGTGTACGTAACCGCAAACAAATGGCCCGGCATTTTCATTAGCTTGAAAGCTTATCAGAGAGAGGCTTCACGCTCTCCACCAAGTCTGCTGGAGTTATCCCACCAAGTCTGCTGGAGTTATCCCACCATAGTCTGGCAGGAAAGGCCCATAATCAATATGGGATTTAATGATAGAAGCTCCCCTCAAGTCCGCGTTTAACCCTAACGTTTGGAGAATAAGCATCGGTGGCGGGACGTGATCGTCTGCGGCAATGCTAGAGTGCCCTACGTATCCGAAACGGCCATATTTGTTTAGGAAGACCCCTAGGGAGGAACTCTTTTGTCGGCGCACGGAAATCATTAACAAGGGGAGGTGATTTTTTTTCTCCTCGCTCAACGTTCAGTTCATCTAATTATTTCCCTTATTTCCTAATCACCCATCCCTCACAAAACTATGGTGGGGGGGGGGTTCTTGTCAATGTTTTAAATAGATTATCCTAACGCATATTTCGTCCATTTATTTGTCCCAATTATAATTATTGTAATCACATTTGTAATTAAAACCATGTTATGTTTTCTGCTAATACGCCGGACACCGTCGCCACAAAAAATACTGAGCAGGATTTTATTAAAACAAAATGTAAGCAATGTAAGCTATGTAAGTGATGTAGCGGCTTAGCTCTAAAAGAGGGGGACAACATGGAACTATACTGGATGATAGATTTTATTTTTAACCCCGCCCCGGCCCCATTGCTCAGTTAAATACAAAAAAGGCAGACCTCCCCTTACCCACCACCACCCGGGGGAGGGGGAGACCTCCCCATACCCACCACCCCCCGGGGGGAGGGGGAGACCTTCCCATACCCACCACGACCCGGGGGGAGGGGGAGACCTTTCCATACCCACCACGACCCGGGGGGGGGGAGGGGGAGACCTTCCCATACCCACCACCACCCGGGGGGGGAGGGGGAGACCTTCCCATACCCATCACCACCTGGGGGGGGGAGACCTTCCCATACCCACCACCACCCGGGGGGAGGGGGAGACCTCCCCATACCCACCACCCCCCCTAACAACAGACCTTCCCATACCCACCCTTTTAAAATACACGCACATCTCTTTGTTGAAGATATAATTTAGCTAATTAAAATTTGGCACCATTTTACTTGAAATTAAAGGTGTTAATTAATCAAAATGAATTAAAAAGAACTGTCTAGGGGCACGATGTCCCTGAGGTATAAAAACTGTAGTGGGTTCTTTTGGCCGCTTTAAAAGTGGACTTTACTCCAGGCTAGCCTGCGATGTTAAAACCAGTTAGTCCTTGTCACCCTTTTAAATATAGCTGAATAGGAGTAGATGTCCTACATTGAGACACTCTAAATATAGCTGAATAGGAGTAGATGTCCTACATTGAGACACTCTAAATATAGCTGAATAGGAGTAGATGTCCTACATTGAGACACTCTAAATATAGCTGAATAGGAGTAGATGTCCTACATTGAGACACTCTAAATATAGCTGAATAGGAGTAGATGTCCTACATTGAGACACTCTAAATATAGCTGAATAGGAGTAGACGTCTTACATTGAGACACTCTAAATATAGCTGAATAGGAGTAGATGTCTGACATTGAGACACTCTAAATATAGCTGAATAGGAGTAGATGTCTTACATTGAGACTCACTAGATGGATCAGCGTTAACCTTATGTGATGTCCGTATCACGTGATAGGTTAGCGTTAACCTTATGTGGTCTGTTTGTACCACGTGACGCGTTATGTCCGTATCACGTGATGGGCTAGCGTTAACCTCAGACCAATAAACAAAAAAAAATCTAAACCTGCACGAGTTAAATGAAGTCAGGTTTTGCTGGCAATGGATATGAAAAGCAAATATGATGACGAGATATTTTTAAAATTTCATGACAAGTGTGATGGCATGATTTATAATTTTTTAATGACAAGTGTGATGAAAAGCTAAGTTCTATATAAAAAAATAAAGTACCCTTTTCAAACCTGACGGTCTATAGGGCCATAGGGCAAGTGAAGTAGAGTTCACTTGTTTCTGTGACCTCGGCATTATGCCCAGCCGCCTTTACTTTCCCTAACGTGTGTTAGGTACCCATCGGAGTCGGGTGGACTCAGGGACGGTCTACTGATTTGAACCCGGATTCGA